AGCTTCATCAATCAAATCCAACTCCATAGCTATTTTGCTGCTATTCTCTTTTTCAGATTGTGACAAAGCTTGGGCCCTCCGCCATGATGGTTCTCCTAGCTCCACCGGGATCATGGCCTCGGTTCCATATGTTAACCTGAACGGGGTTTCTCGCTCCTCTACCCATTTCCCTTTGGCACACTGCTCCATCCTTTTACGCAATCCGGCTATGATGACTTGGTTTGCCGCTTCGGCTTGGTCGTTGGATTGAGGATGTTCAACAGACGCGAAATGATGCCGGATGTGAAGATTTGCCATTAATTCTTGGAAGGTCCTACTTGTGAACTGGGTTCCATTATCGGTGATCACTTCAGCTGGAATCCCAAACCTGCAGATCAAATTTCTTTCAAAAAAGCGCTGCACCCTTGCCGTGGTAATTGTTGCTACTGGCTCTACTTCTATCCATTTGGTGAAGTAATCAACAGCCACTATTAACCACTTTAACTGTTCTTCAGCCGCAGCAAATGGGCCCAGCAAGTCCATCCCCCATTTGAAGAAGGGCCATGGAGCTGTGATCAAGCTTAAGTCTTCTGGTGGTGCCAACAGGTTCTTACCGTGCTTCTGGCACTAATCGCACTTCTGTACGTGCTCCTTTGCGTCCTGACCCATAGATGGCCAAAAGTATCCTGCTCCGAGGGCTTTCCGAGCTAATGCTTTACCCCCAATGTGTTGGCCATTTATCCCCTCATGGATTTCAGATAGGACATATTTTGCCCTATCCGAGCTTAGGCATTTCAATAGGGGAGAATAGATTCCCTTCCTATATAACTGCCCTTCAACCATAGTGTATAACGCAGCGTCCTTAACTAGCTTCCGAGCTTCTTCCTGTTGAGAGGGGAGCGTCCCGTTTTCTATGTAACCGATAATGGTACTACGCCAATCTTTGCTCTCGGATATCTGCATGACACATGTGGGTTCTGGGATGTCCTGCTCCACCACCGTCCTGTGGTTTCCCCATCCTTTGGTACTTGCCAGTTTGGAGAGTATGTCGGCTCTGCTATTTTCATTTCGTGGGATGTGACGGACTTCTACATTTTCAAACTCCGCCATTAACTGCCTTGCAGAATCTAGGTACTTTGCCAGCAGCGGTCCTTTTGCTTGGTAGCATCCCCCAATTTGCGACGTGACCAGCTGCGAATCACTAAAGATTTGCAGTTTCCTTGCTCCGAGCTCTTTTGCCTGATGTAGCCCGGCTATGAACGCTTCATATTCTGCTTGGTTGTTGGACGTTTCAAATTTCATTTGCAAAGAATATTCAACCGAGATCCCTTCTGGATTCTCAATAATTATTCCGGCTCCACTTCCTTTGGAATTTGAGGACCCGTCCACATAAATTTTCCAGTTGTCTGGAATTGTTGAGCTCTCCTTTTGGATTGAAGTGAGCTCCCTGACAAAGTCTGCCAAGGCTTGAGACTTGATTGCCTTTCGACTTTCAAAGGATATGTCGAATTCTGACAGTTCTACAGCCCAGGCCATCATTCTTCCTGCCAGGTCAGGTTTATGTAAAATCTGCCGAATTGGCAAGTCCGACTGAACTACAATCTGGTGTCCTTGAAAATATGCTCTAAGCCTTCGAGCCGAGGTTAGCAGAGCGAAAGCCACCTTTTCTAACTTCTGGTAGCGGAGCTCTGCTCCCTGTAAAAGTCGACTTACAAAGTAGATTGGCTGCTGCCCCTCCTCATTTTCTTGAACCAAGATCGAGCTAACAGCGAGATCTCCCACAGAGAGATACATTATCAGTGGCTCCCCTTTTCTTGGGCTAGATAGCACTGGTGGTGATGCCAGCTGCTTTTTAATTTCCTCAAATGCTGCTTCACATTCTGAAGTCCAACCATATTGTACCTCCTTTCGTAACAACTTGAAAAAAGGCAGTGTCATTTCTGCAGACTGAGGTAAAAACCTAGTGAGAGAAGCTAGCCTCCCAGTCAACTGCTAGATTTCCTTCTTGTTTCCCGGGGCCTTCATTTCTAGCACGACTCTGCACTTGTCCGGGTTAGCTTCAATACCTCTGTGAGTCAGCATGAATCCTAGGAATTTCCCTGCAAGGACTCCAAACGCACATCTAGCCAGATTTAGCCGAATGTTGTGTTGTCGCAGTTTCTTAAAGGTCTGTTCCAGGTCTTCAACATGCATTGTTGAATTAGCTGATTTGACTATCATATCGTCTATATACACCTCCACATTCTTGCCAAGTTGATCTACAAATACCTGATTCATCATCCTTTGGTATGTGGCTCCTGAGTTTTTCAATCCAAAAGGCATCACATTATAACAATAGTTTGCCTTTTCTCCAATAAACACAATCTTTTCTTGATCCTCAGGGTGCAGTGGGATCTGATTATACCCCGAGTACGCATCCATAAAGGATAACATCTGGAACCCGGATGAATTATCTACGAGCTGGTCAATGTTGGGCATGGGGTATGCATCCTTGGGACATACCTTGTTCAGGTCAGTGTAGTCTGTACATACCCTTCATTTCTCATTTGGCTTTTTCACCATGACCACGTTTGACAGCCAGGTTGTATATTGTATTTCTCTGATGAATCCTGCTTCCAGCAGCTCTCTTATGTGATCTTCTAACACTTGGCGACGTTCCACACTGAGTTTTCTTTTCTTCTGAGCCACCGGTTTAGACCCCGGGTATACTGCAAGCTTGTGATAGCAGAATTTAGGGTCGACACCAAGTATCTCTGAGGACTTCCAGGAAAAGACGTCGACGTTCCTTCTTAAGCACTCAATAATTCGAAACTTCTCCTCATTAGCCAGCCTTTTTCTGACTTTGGCTATTTGAGTTTCTTCTCCAATAACTACCTCCTCCAGCTCCCCATCTGGTTCTGGTCTTGGGATCTGAGTTTCATCCCTCATGTCCAACTCCACCATGTTTACCAGTGTAGTTCTTTTCTTGGAGGCTTCCGGTTTATCTCTGGTGCCCAACCCCCCTGGCGTTTTAAGGTGACTGCTTATTGCTCTGACTGACTTAAAGTAACAGTCCCGAGATTCTTTTTGGTCTCTATGAATGGTGATGACCGTATTCTGCTTACCAACCATTTTGAGCTTCTGATGCTTAGTGGAGACCAGCATATCCCAGTCGTGGATAGTTGGTCTTCCCAAAATCACATTATACTCTGATGGGAAGTCGGCAACGATGAATCTTACCCTTTCTAACTTGTAAGCCTCCTTTGTTCCCAGGGAGAGTCTTAAATCAATGTATCCCTTAGGAATAGTATCACAGCCATTAAATGCCATCAAAGTTGTGTTGCAAGGCTTCAAATCCTCCACATCCAGGTTCATTTTCTGGAATGCCTGCCAGAGAATTATGTCGGCACAGCTGCCGTTGTCCACGAACATTTTCCTGACTTTACAGTTGACTAGTGACCCGGTGATGACTAGCCCGTCAACGTGCCCCGATCTTCCAATTCTGCTTTTGTAAAGAACAGCCGTGGTGCTTCCGATTCCTCTCCCTTGAATTTAGGCCGCTCTCGAATTGAAAACACCTCTCTTAAGTATTTTCTTCTGGCATTCATGGTATCACCTCCCCCACCAAATCCTCCACTAATGACATTGCACTCGAACTCGGGCTCCATGAATCCGTCGTCTTCTTTGGCCGGCTTCTTACCTCGGCCTTCATCCTTGAACTTCTTCTCTCGGTTCGGGCTCATCGGCTGTCCTCCTTTTCTCTTCTTATTGTTCTTCCACCCTTGAGTTAGTATGAGTTACTGACACAACTTTCCCTCCCTGATATATCTTTCAATTGCATCTCTAAGATCCCAACACTCCTCGGTTGTGTGACCAGGGCCATCATGGAACACACAATACCGTGATTGATCAAGCCCAGCTTGATTCAGTAGTGGCCGAGGTCTGTCCACCCTTTTCATCTCGGTGGATGCCACTTCCCTCCAAATTTGGGATCGGGAGGAATTTAAAGGCGTATACCTGTCAAATCTTATTTTGGATACATTTTTCTCTTCGGGTTTTTTACCCCGGAAATCATTTTGCCTTCGGTTTCCAGGTTTTTCTACCTGGCTTTGGTGCGACCTTGGGTCCGCGTTTTCAACTTCCATCTGTTCGAGCTCCAAGTATTTTTTGGAACGAGTAGTGAACTACACTAGAGTTCGTACAGGGTCTTTGTAGACGAACTTGGCCAACTTGGAAGATCCGTGAAGGCCGGCAATCACCAAATGAAGGTGGACATTTTCGGATAGCCCAGGAACTTGTAACGCGGCCATCTTGAAACGGTCCAGATATTTCTGCAGGGTTTCGCCAGGCTGCTGCTTTATTTTCCCCAGCGTAAATTCAGACTTTGGCTGTTTTTTGCTTGTAGCAAAGTTTAACAAGAACCTGCCTCCGAACTCTTCAAACGACCTGATGGATCCTGCTGGCAGGGAGGAGAACCACGCCTGAGCTGCTCCTGTCAGGGTGGTTGCGAATAACCGGGTTATCAGCGGTTCTTCGATCCCCTTTATATACATTGTCGTATCAAAGGCATCCAAATGCACTTGAGGGTCTTGCGTTCCGTCATATTTTGGAATTTCAGACAGATTTAGGTTCTCTGGATATGGTGCATTCACAACTTCGTCTGCAAAGGGGTAGTCATTATATTGCCCCCTATGATACTTCCTCTTATAGACCCCGGATACATCGTTCGGGTTTGGGTTCAGGTTCGGTCTCTCTTGCCCCCCGTTCCTATTGAGAACTTCGGGTCCTTGATTATGGACCACATTGGGGGTGCTTCTTTGAGGCCGACTTTCGACGTTTCCAACCCCTCTTCCCTGGGCCTGAGCCCCATTAGGGTTCGCCTGGGTGCCTGCAATCCGTAGGTCATTCATAACCCATGTTATTTCCTGCTCCGGGTTCGGGTTGGTAGCTCGACCCACTCGGGCCTCCAGCTCTCGCATTTGTCTAGCAGCTTCCTCCCTTTCCAGCCCGTGTCTCCTCTCTATCTCCTGCATTCTCCGAAGCACTGCGGCAACTGCCAGATCTATTACCCGCGAATCAGCAATTGCACCAATCGGTGCCTGTGCAGTATCTGCTATTTGTTCCTCCATTGGCTGTAAACCCTGCACGTAAGGAGCGTCTTGGTTAACAGCTGGAGTCGATGCCGAATCGGAATGCACATCACTCACGTGCACGGCGTCGGCATCTATCTACCGTCCATCCAGAGGATTCTCCCTAATTGGAGAAATAGGCTGGATTCTGAAATTTGATCTTGACGGATGTCGAAATCCACTTCTTGTTGCTCTCACCATCGTGGCTTTTGATCACGTGGTCGTGGGTTTTTCCCACAGACGGCGCCAATGTTTTTCCTGAAGCAGATATGTCCGACAGAAGGTCGGGTCTTTGATGTTGGATCTAGAGCTTTCTCTCTAGATACCTATGAATTAGGTATCTTAGGGATAGCTGATCACTACACACTATATGATGGCTTTAGCCAGAAGGGGTGTGTGTGTGCACTGTCGTGTCTTGAATAAAATAGGGTTAGAGAGATCAGTCATACCTGTGGTCTTTAGTCCTATTTATAGAGCTTACCTCTGGGCTGACGTTGGTTGGGCTTCATATTGCTGTGGGCCTTTCTCTGGTCCATAACAACCCTCATGATTTCATATACAGATTTCTTAGAATCTCTGACACTACCAAGCATAACGGGGTATCAGATGATGCAATTAGACTCCGATTGTTCCCTTTTTCTGTAACAGGGAAAGCTCTCAGATGGTTGGATAGACAAGCTCCCAACAGCATTAGAATGTGGGATGAGTTGTCAGCTAAATTCTTCGCAAAGCACTTCTCCAGGGAGAAATACAACAAGTTGTTTGAGGTACTAGTCATGTTGTCCCCCAGCCCGAAAGCTTAGGTATTCAAGGTATTAGTGTGCATCATGTTTAAATTTAACTCCCCCGACCCGATAACTCAAATACCCAAGGCATTGGGGGTGTGCCTTTATCTTCAATTTTATGCTTGGCCGAGTTGAATAAATTATCTTGAGGGGGCGTTTGGTACCCGTCTTATTTTGCAATCCCCGGGAATGATTTCTTTGACAAGACTGAATCCTGCGTTTGGTATAATTAAAACGAAACAAATCCAGACCGACAAGTTTTCCCGAGAAAATTTAGCATGTGTAATGCACAGTACAAATTGCTTTGATGAAAGTCCTTCCAGAAGATGGTTCTATTTTGTTCCCGGGATAATATATTTTTAGGCGCGAAATAATTGACCCATTTACCCCTCATATTTGTACGATCTGTGTCATATGACAAGGAAGCTTTGCTACTTTCACTTCTTCGCGTAATAAAAGCAGAGCTTCACCACTGTCGAAGCTTGTACACTCAGCAGACTACACATCAAAAGGTAAATTGGTGGAAATTTCACATTTCGAACACATGCATGTAGCATCCGTTGAGGATCGAAGTGTTTGACATATTTTGTTTTTTAATTTTTTTTTAAAACAAGTTTGTGTCATCGGTTTGGAGGAAGGCTGTTGTTTAAGAGTGGTAGAACAGTTGTGGAACTTCCAAGGGTAAGTCTCCCATTTACGAGCTTCTCTTTTTATGTGGGTTCCATTTTCACTTTGCTTTTAACAGTGGAAATAGCGGGTTGGGCATGTGTATTTGTTAAGACATTCATTTCTCCTCATTTGATGTGTTTATAATTTTAGAAAGTGTTGGTTTGGTTTGGTTGGTATGGTCTGTGTGTTGTTCCCGTGCTTGGTATGGCCCTATGTTTTCAACCTGTCATGTCTTCTTGATAGCATACATCACAGTGGCACAATATGTTCCCTTCATGCAATGCACGAGTTTCCTTATTTGTTTTTCTTCGTGAAGGTCTATATATTATTTTCAGCAAACAAAAAATTTAGCATGTGTATGTCAGAAGTGGTGGAC